TATGATTAAAAAAGTTCATGCATTTTTTATAATGCAATGTAATGAATTAATAGGAGAATCTTAAAAACCTGAATGTGATTAGAACTTTTATTGCAGATTACATTTAATCTTCACGAGAATTCTAATTATGTCTTTTAATTAGTAGTATTGGGTGACGTAATATATTGTAAATAGTCGAATTGTAACAATACATTAGAATAGTCACTAACAAATATATAGGTAGATATACGTATATATGTTTACACAAGTACTTTTAACTATATATTTACTGTAAAAGGTAATACCGCTTAAAAATCATAAAAATCTTCGTATTTTTTACATTTCTACATAAGATCTGTTTTATACTATCAACGTTAAACATTTAAAATAAACGATCAGCAAAAATTTTTTCAGCGAACTTTCTTTTTTTATGTGTACTCAAAACATTTATTCTTTATTACTTATTTTAGCAGATATTTTCACAGCATAAAATGGAATAAACACATCTATGTTCAGTTTGTGTACATATTTATTTGCACAATTGATGTCTTGTTACATACAATAAGGGTACGTGTATAAAAAAAATACTCATTTTCACGCAAATAAATGAGTGCTCTGTCGTCGCCTCTCTAAAAGTGAATCATGAGTGGAACTTCTAACGCCTCTCGTTCAAAATGTTTTTTCAGTAGTTTCTCAAAACTATGCAAAATAACTTGTCTTTACGCAATGGCACGCGCTTCACTAATGAAACTAATATCTGTAGTGTCATGGTAACTACTTATACGAATTTTGTTTATTCATTATTTTGTATATTTTAAAGATTGCGTTCGAAGCACTAATATTGATTCAATCAGTGTTTTAAACATTTTTTAATTTTTTAACAGAATTCAGAATACTGTTGGGAATTTATTATTCCTAAATTCCTCTTTCAGTTTCAATTTCTGTCATATTCGACTACACGATTGCGAGTTCTCTCGTTGTAACATATGATAGCAATCATCGGTATTTCTGCCTTAAATTTAGTGTTAAACAAAGTAAATATAAAAAAGAAAAACCAGTGATTGTATCCCAACAATAAAAAGTATGATATTGTAAATATATAAATATAAAAAAACCTATTATTTCGAAATAGCAATCGATATTTTTGAGAACATTCACGTTTATTGAGGAGTAAATCGCGTGCCACTTGATCTTTAAGGTACATATGATATTCTAATACACTTATATTGGCGTGTGCCGATGGTCGGAAAATCCTAGATAATGTTATCACGGAACTTCAGTTCCCAGGTTTATTTTGAAACGAGATTGATGGTAGGATGGAATCCATCTTTATCGGCGGTGTAATCAACCCTTCAATCAGATAATTACATTTTTGATATATCTTCGGCACTTATTCAAACAAAAGCGTATTATCGGAGTGCAATTTTAAATTCAACTAATGTTGTATTTTTGAAAATTTGTTTTGCAAGTATTTTACCTATAAGTGTGACCATCTGGTGATGTAAAGCTGAAACTACCAGTAACATCGAGAGATTCATCGTCGGTACCCTCGTTTTTCAATTCCGCGGTTTCTTCCCTCTTTTGGCCGTCGCTCTGTTCATAACTGAAATGATATCCACCTACTCCAATATTGTTTTGCTCTTCCTGCTTTATGATCGTAATTTCATTTGGATTTCCTTGGGGCGCTGCGAGAGCTGCCACTATCGCTGTCACGAAGATGAAAATCTGCGTAATAAGGATTAACTAAAAACCTTGTCATTTTTAAGGAAACTGTCAATCTATATAGATATTTAGTTTTTTCTTTTCTAACTTCATATTTACAAGCATAATTTTTTAAATTAACTTCTTTTACTTTTGAGCTTAAGATAAGTACAATACTTCGATACGACCACACGGTGTAAGCTACCAAAAATGCATATACAAGTACACCGTAACTCGACAACTGTTTTACCAAGTGTTTTTACTTCAACAAAGGTATACGTATCACGTTCTAAAAACATAACTCCTAAATCTCTTTAAGTGTACCCGATTCAAGGGTCCATCACCACTATCGAAGAGGTTTCAACAACTATATTACGTAACAGGCATGTAATCCGTCAATCGGAATAATTCAGTCAGGACTCGAACATGGATCTTTACAACGATCAACTGTGAGTTACCTAAATTACAACAAATCCCTTCAAGACTAATTATTCGAAGACCTCTCTACCGTTTTCAAACCAACATAACGCGTACAACCGTTATCCTCCCACAAGTACGAAGAATACTGTTATCGTAAGTAAATATAAAGTGACATATCACGACGGAAGAATCGATCGTATAATTTACGGTGTAAAACACGAATGGTTCGCCATTAGGAGCTTATCATCACGCGCCAAAAATTATGATTAATCATCGGTGCGTGAAACGTCGTACACGCACAAATGTCACAGTCCTCTTCACTTTCACTGTTACGTAAAATTTTCAGGGTCTGGCGCGTCCGAAATAATCGGCTTCTGGCTCCCTGTACGTACGATGGAGCGCGAAACGATCTCACGCGGACGCCTTACGTTACGAATTTCTTCCCGTAGGTCGGAACCCACCGTCTTCATGGCGAGGACTCTTCGTGCGAACTGGACTCTACTGTCCCTTCGTCCTTAAACGACGACCGATACAAGTGATACCAAGGATGCACGGTGCATCTGCCTTTATATAGTCGGAAAATCGCGGGTGTTGCATCCCCACCTGGCATTAGACTAGCCGGAGATTCGCGGATCGGTCTCTCCCCTAACGGTGCTAGAGGATGCATCCGCGATGCAACGGTACAAGTGTCTCTCCTATAGAGGAGCGTTTGCATTCTTTGTCCCGCGCGCTGTTTGTTCCACGTTATTGAGGAGGATCGAAGCCACAGCCTGTCGCACAGGAGCGCGGACATTTGTTTATAACGATTGGAAGTAGAATATATAAAAAGCTCGTTAAACAATCGTATCATACTGTTAATGATCCGTATTTTACGAATGTTGTAAAAGTACTTTTATTCTGATGGACTTTTTATCTTTAATTATAGTAATTTTATTCACGTGTAATATCTTGAAAGCAGATGTTTGAGAAATGTTACTTCACAATTTATTACTTACTTTTTTTTTTTCTTTTCACATAGAACTTAGTCTTCGTTTTTTTTTTTTTTATTACAATTGCACGTATTCCGAATATATGTACATAACATTTTGTAGAAAGGCTGTTTCTCTTTCTAATGAGATCTACCTGATATACTACTCAATTAATCATATCGCAGACTACTGAAACATCCAGTTTTCTCTATATCTTGAACACGTAACCAAATAAAATGGATAAATTAAACAGGAAAATTAAGCACTCTTCACTTTACTTGAGAAATATGTCTCTATACTTAATAATACCTGTATTCTGCAAGTATCAAATCACGTGGAGAAACGTTCAGTAGGAAAATGGTAAATCGACGAAAGTTTGCTCCAAAGGGGTTTTCATGCTTTTGAGAGATATGCTCGATTAACGAACTTCATTGCATCGTCATTCAGCAGGTAAATGTCCTCCTTCTTTCGAATTGGCATTTATGAACTTGCCCATCATGTCGTTCAGATATTACAATGTAAAGGATCTTTCAGGTGGACTTTGCCGTAGGAACTTCATCAGCAATGCCAAGGACCTTTCGTCTCTCTGTACAGGGAGACGATTGTTCCTTTTCACACAGAGTATGTGAGTCTAGTCACGTCAAGTTCATCTATGTTTAGATCACAATAACGCTCACCTTGCAAATTGAACCGTGCTAAATAGTATATGGGTAATCGCGAAGCGAACGTCCGATAAGATTAACCTTTTACAGATACACAGATATTTCTCCTCATCTGTGTTCTGTTCCAAGTGTTATTTTTACTTTAGAAAATGTTACTCTGTCACTCTAAATGAACTTTATTATACAATTCTATCTATTGATTACTTCTATAAAAATATCAGTAAAATTGTTCACTTTACAGTTAGTAGCATTGGTAATCTTGTAATAGAATATTAGAAAAATGGACAATTTTAAAATATAACATTTGTGAAATTAGTAATCTTACAATAGTTGGATTGTAGCAAAATTAGTAATCTTGTAATGTAATATTAGTAAAACAATTCTGTAATATAGCATTAGTGAAATTGATAATTTCATGATGCAGCTATGTATTAGTCATGTATGCAGTAGTATTGCTATTATTCTATGTTAAGATTTGATACAAGGATACGTAGGTGAATTGAAAAATCTTTGATTACAGGACGTATACGTATCCATGAACTTTAGTCACATAGCATCGGAATGATTTTCAATATACTCGTAACGCACCTAGGATAGTTTATAATCTTGGATTAAGTAAGACGCTTTGTGACGTAACATGTGAAATGTATTTACTCGGAGATAATTCTACACCGTTCGAACACGTGAATGAAGTATTTGTCCACGATGTTCCCTTTTACGATGGTTTTAAAGATCAACATGTATTTCGTTGGCATAAAAACATCAAGTGTTAATTAAAGAACGATTCTTCATAGTACAATTATACAGCGGTTGACCACACATCTTGCATTTCCCGTTACAAAAGTGGAATGACATCAGGAACAAAATTCTGTCTCAGCATTCGCTATGCTAATGGCATTCGTTTTTCATCACTATCACTTTTTTAACAGTTTAAGTAATTTAAAAAAAGAAAAAAACAGAAGATCCTCGCTATTCTTCCTCATGCTTTTACGATTCGACATTTCGGTCTTCGAGATTTTATACGAACGCAATTCAAAGTAGCTTTCGAACGGAAAAAATGTTTTAATTTCTTGTACAATGCGGTATGTTCCAATGCCTCGCTACGGTTCAAGAATTATTATAATTTAATATACGTGAGAAAAAGTTGAGACTTGAGACCACACCAGAGTATAATGCGACAGAAGACTGATCGCAGGTATATGTCAATAATAAATCAACTTTTTCAATTAATGCCTAAAACTTACATCTATCTTGCACTGTTCTTTTATCTTACATGTATTATATTAAGATTTCAGATCCATGTGAAAGGAGTAAAAACTTCAGTGAAATAATTACCACAAAAATACGACATCTATCAACTGAGAGAACCAAAACCCGCAGCTTTACATTCTATCCGTTAAAACGCATATTTAAAAATTCTACCAACAATTTCTACAAATAAATAACGCTGGAATTTTCAATTTTAGGTTTTGCGTGTCAAAACGAATAACGAAAGAAGTTGCACCTGTTACAGACAGGAAGATCTAGAATAATTCTGGAACAACCTATTTAGTAGGTTCTACCTGCTCAGTGATTACGTGGTCAAAAATCATGGTAGCGTCACGAACAGACAGTAGTGGATCGTACGTAACAGTGATTCTTTTTATCCCCATTACCGAAGAGGATACGTGTAACAGCCATTTAGAAGATGTTGGCGATTTCGTAACACGGATGATTCCTAGGGAAAGCCGAATCCATTGGAACGTCGTATTCCTACCCCTGTTCGCGGTTCGCAGTTCGTCGTTTGGTCGTCGAAGCCTCGAGGCGTTGTGCACGCGGCCGAGCGTCCTTGGTAATTGTGACATTTGCTTTTCTCGGCGTTGTACGCGCGCCGAGAGAA